AAAGGAGTAGGCCCGGTAAGACCCCATTTTGGCCCCAAAATATAGCATTTTTACAAATTTGTTAAAATTTAAGCTTTTAGCTATTTATTGGAAAGCATAATACTTTCGTTACATAAATATTGGTTGTTTTTTACCATACAATGCACATGCATCAGGTACTAGCATCATTAATTCATGCAAAATTATTAAAATTTTCACAATTTTAACATTTGTGCTAATTTTTAGACGGTTTTTGTCTAAATTAAAAGTGGTCGCACTTGTGTTCAGTCTTAATATTTAGATATATGTGGTATTTGATGATATTACATCAGATATATCAAGGTTGAGACTGAACACGAATGCGGCCACTTTCATTTTAGACAAAAAAAAAAACATCTGAAAAGTGACGTTTTATGGCATATTTGATAGATTTTCATACTTAAGCTTGAATTTCAGCGTCTATAATGACCAAATCAGTTAAAATATATTACAAAAAACTAATTGAATCGACTGAAGTAGACACTTAAGTGTTTAAAAAATATAAAAAATCTTTCATCAGATGTAAGTCAATTTTTTGGCCAAAATTAGCCCTTACCGGACCTTCTCCTTTTATGGGGGGGGACGATTAAAGACTATGCAAAAACAGTCTAACTTGCGAAGCCTACTTTGATATTCTATATGACAAAAAATAGTGATTCTTTTTGTAGATTTAGAACTTTGAACACAAAAATTTCTATTGAAATTGGTAGATGGCAAAATAATAAGAGAGAACATTTTATTTGTACTTTATGTAATTCCGGTGATATTGGCGACGAGTTTCATTTTTTTTTAGAATGTTCGGCAATAGACAAAAAGAGACAAACGCTGTTAATACGGGGGTTTTGACCCCCAAGAACGCCACATTTTGCAATGAATTTTATCGATATTTTTTAACGTTTTCAAATGAAATAAATTGAATGGAAAATTTCCCGGCTTTGTGAAGATTTCTCAATTGGCTTCAATATTTACAAACAAAATAAAAAGTTTATTTAACATTTTTACAAAAACAGTATGTTTATTATTTTTCAAAGGGAAACCTTTTTTGTTTGCCAAGTTTACTTGTATGTGTTTATTACCATCACTAATCACAGTGAAACTCCTAATTATTAAAGATCAAACTACCTAATCAACATGATAATTGGTTATGCATATCCCCAAAAACGGCACGTGTCGATAAAAACTTAAATTACTTTTCAAATATTGAATTGATTTTATGAAAACAAAAATTATAAGATCAAAAATTAAATTATCTATCGAATGCATACCCTTAATGCACACTAAAACATCTATTACATGTCCTGAGAGCACTTTTTATGTTCTGAGCGGTATTTAGACGTACCGTAATGTTAGTGGCCGAATAAGGCTAATTCGATAACCTGGGCTGATATGCATAAAACCACTTAAGTTAAGATATCCAATCGTAGTACTAATCTATCGTACGACATGTAGAAAAATCCGTCCCTTTGGAACAAATCTTAACTTAAGTAGTTTTATGCATATCAGCCCAGGTGTTTAGTGTTCGGTGACTCGTATCGGCGCATACTATACATGCATGTATCAGACAAATTAACAAAAAAGCTAATCGCCAACCCAATCAAGGATGTCCACCTCGGCTTTAAATCACATGTTACAGTCGGTTGAAAATTACCTGTGTATATTAAGTTCTAACTTTTAATCTAAAAAAAAAAGAAATGCATGCATATGCACAAGCCTTACATGTTTGCACATTTCATTTCTACAAATTACCAAACTATTTCAACTCTCTTCTCGAATGTACTTAAGGATAATGATACAATGTAAAAAAGGGGTTAAAATAGTCAGTTTTAAAACATGCTATCGTGTTACCATTAAAAAGACAAACTATACAAGAACTGCACATAAGGTTTAGACATAGGCTTTCCATGAAGATTATATAAAATTAGATCATGATAAATTGTATGTATACCTATGGAAGATTTGCATGTACTTTCACGGCAATGGCTGCATGACTGCATTCTCTATAGACGACACGTTGATGATCATATTTTTTTTGGAAAATTGAAATTATCCCACACCAAATTAACTCTTTTTAAACACTTATTTCCTAAATGAATTCATATTATACACAGACCTTGCTGAGTGAACATGTTTAACTTGAGATAGAGATTCTGAATCAGCATTATTTTTAAAACATCTTCACAAAAAAAAAAAGAATCACAGTATCACAGTTTCACGTGTTACGGTCTATATATAAATATATACTTACTTTGAGCAAAACATAATATCATTTATGAAAATGATCGATTGATAATTGCTTAACGTCCAGTGGCAAATATTACATGCATGTTCAGAATTTTTTTTATAAAAATAAAATGGGCGTTGATGGCAGATATTTCATTGTTTCCGTTAAATTAATTCTCAACTGTTATACACTATATGGGTAAACCTGTCTACTGTTATTGACTGTATGTTGGTCTTGTGATGTCTTCTGCATATTGTTTTCGTGGGGTTGCTGTCTTTTTACTTATACCCAATATATTCTTACAAATGTACATTGAATTTCATACTTGTCGGGTTGTTAAAATAATTGAATGTCGTGGTAACGCGCAGTATTTTAGATTTTAAAGTATAATCGTGGAATAAAAACTTTACATACTTGGACATTGCTCATTTTCTTGATCAATATAACTGACAAATAAAACCCTCAAAAATTCGATTCATTTTTACTGTTAATTTTCACTGAAAAGAACAATTTAAACACAACACGTGAGAAATAAACGGAAGCTTCAAACAAAAGTGTTCATTATATAATAATAAAATATTTCCGACTGTCTGGTGGAAGAGTAAATGTTGATATTTGGTTTAACGTAAACAGAAACATTAGTTCATCAATATTAGCATTTATTATACATAACCGCTGGCAGTGACATTTTTTTCAAAATATAAATAAGGAGATGTTGTATGATGCCAATAAGACAAATTTCAATCAGAGTTTCAATGAAAAATATATCAGCAATTATATGCCTTCAACCAATACAGACATGTACAGACCGAATAATCTGTCTCTTGTGTGTTTATACTTGTCATTTCATATTTAATTTGTCAACCGACCAGAGGAGGGACGACATTCTGCATACGACACGCATATTGGACTTATATTATCGATCGGTCGCAGTCACCTGGACAATGGAAATTTGTTGGATGATATTATACACATAAGCAATAATATACAGTTGTGATGATTATATATTATACATACATGTATACATAATAATTGAATTTGGTATTTGTCATTATTTGCCGGGTATATACGAATTTATCCCTTTATCAAACTGCTATTTTCCGGGTGCTTTTTTTGTACGACATGGACATTATAATTGAATACTCGTTTATTAAAGTAATTTTAACAATTTTTTTATTTGTGTCAAAATTTTATGTTATACAAGATTATAAATATTAGACTCTTTTTTTCATTTGTCATTAAAAAAAAGAAAAACACCAGAAAACAAGTAAAATACGAAGCCAACCAATATCCAAATTAAACATGTAATTTAAAAAACAAAAAGCTATCTTACATGTTTTGTTTTGGTTTTTTTTCCGGGGGGGGGGGGGGGGGGTGATCATTTTTATTTCAATTATCTTGAATATCTAAAATACACAATACATGGTATTTGTTGCTAAGGTTTACGTATAAATTTACGTATTTACTCACGGATTTGACAACAGTTACTATTTTTTGACATTTTATTTGAAAATCGTCGTTTTTTAGCGACTCATTATGCAGCAACGAATGGAGACATAAGGAGCCTTTTATGTTTTATGCTGTTTAAACAATATTCTTTAACGGTTATAAATTTCGATTTTCTTTTACTTGCTAACTAACGAAGTATTAATAAAAGCTTGTGTCTAGTATTTTTACAGACCTCGAATAAAAATTCCTGTCATTACGGAACATAATCTTTATAGATACAATTTACCAAAAAGAAGTAAAAAATACATTACAGTTTTTATGTAAAAGTTATTTTCGATCATCAATATTTCTTTCCATTTGAAAACTTGCTATATTTTTATGATTGCAATAGAGTATATTTGATATTAAAACATGAACAAATATACATTGCAAATTGAATGATATTCAATGAATTTTAATCTCATAAAACTACATGTCATAGTTATAGTTAAAATTGATTTTTACAATAACAAAGTCTAATTGTCAAGTCCGATTTAATCAATTGAGTATACATTTTTTAAAAGTTAAAAGTTGTAGAATTTTACCGAAAGCCGTTAAAGCTAGGTAAATTTGTACGCAATTCCGAAAAAACATATTTCATTTTAGTTGTAATTTATGCTCATTTAACCCTCACATATATTTTATTTTGGACAATTGAACAAAGCAAACAAATTTTCACGGAAGGACATGAATATAATTGAGAAATAAGGGTATTACAAACAAGCTCGAATAAAGGGAGACAAACCTTATTAATCTGCACAAACAATTTTATGTCAAAATTGATAGATTTACCTGGTACTGGATGCTACTGAAAATTCCCAATCAACTATTTTATCGATGAACTGACGTGTACTAAAATGTACTAAACAGTACTGGATTTAACGCTACGGGTTTTTTCTTAATTACCTAAACCAGTACTGACTGGTACTTAATCGATCGCGATAGTTAGTGTACTGAACATGTACTGAACAACTGAAAAAGATCTTGACATTTTTCCTTGCGGTAAATTCAGGCATTTTAAAGTTGTTCAGTTTAAAATGACCGTTTCAGTAGTAAAACCCGTTACTAGTGAATTTGCTGAGGAAACGATAAAAAAATTCAAAAAAATTTGCAGTTCTATCATTGAACACTGCATTCAAGACCTAAAATGTATATATACATGTATATATGGGTGTATAAATGTATTTATCCTTATATTTGTTCTCATGGTGGGTTGATATTAAAGAAACCTATGATTGAAAGTAACTCATGTTAGTCATGCAATTATTTCCAGAAGCAGGAAGGGATAGATATTCCACCTGAAGTTGAAGTGACTGTAAGTAATTAATGTCAATTTATTCTCTAGGCAAATATATGCAGTGAACAATTAATTTAACCTAACTGAAAATTGAGCTCTGATTCAATCTTTTTGTCTTACTTACGTAGAATATTGTTTTTTATAAGTTTAAACCTTCTGTTGTATTATTTTTTTCGATGAGGTTTTATTTCCACTCAACGGGTTACTTTAATACCATAACAAATTACAACAAGATTAATATAGAAACTTGATAGTTGTGGGTTGCGAATAAAATACAATGATTTTTGTTCACACATTCATGAAATATTCAAAATATGAATGGCTTAGTCTTGCATTTATGAATACTTGACGCAAATAAATATGTTGTTCTGAAATCTAAGATTTAATAGCAATTCGTTCATATAACAAAACTGTATTAGGTTAAAAAAAAAACAAACAAAAAACACTATTACACTTGCGTTCTTACAATTTTCATGCTACAATACCGTGTATTTCTTCGATGATACGACAAAGTACAGATAAACGTTTTAATGAAGAAATCCGTTTATCTTCACTAGCATCATGATTTGAAATTATAATAATTCTCAATTAAAATGTTGGTAAGCACTTGTAACAATGATGTGTAATTCCATTGCTGTAAGGTTACATTCAAGAATTCAAGGAAACAAAAACAAATGTATTTTCTGTTTTTATTGACAAAAATTGATTATCAAATATTAAAATCTTTACTAGCAACTAGTGATCCTTCAAAAGCAACCATTGTCTGTGCCATCTGAGCCTTCATCGCCTGTGCAATCTGAGCCTCCATCACCACTGCCGCCAACTGAACCGCCTCTTCCATCACCTCAGACGCCCATAACAGATGCATTTGAAATATGGAAAAATATCAGCAAATTAGGGGAACCAAGAATTATAATATCATTGATTGGCGCTTACAATGAGTTAATTCCAACGTATAAATGGAAACACCAGCTGCTGTTAAAGGAGGCACTTACTCATGTTGCAAGATATGCAGGAAGTAAATGATTTCTTTATTGAAAAAAAATAATGAAAAAAAAAATTTCTATATACAAACCTAGGCCTATTTGCATTTTTCAGTCGCTTTGTAGACCAATTAAAGGCGTTTATAGCAATTAACATAGAAATAAAACAAAGAGTTTAACACAGTTGATATAACAAACCTCATATTAATTAGATTATCTATTATATTACTGAAGGCAGTGTATTGACATCTATATTTCTTTTGGTTTTTTTTTTTGTGTCGTTAAGTTGCTTTCTCATTGATATATACACATACATCCAAAAACATAATATATAATATAAAATATCAGCGACTATATCATTCTGTAACTACACATATAACCATACAAATTGGCTGATGGTGTGAATATTACGAAGAGGGGGCATTTAGTCTCAGTGTCATTAATTGAGGTAAACCCGAGAATTCCCTGCATTATAGAATCAAAAGGGCAACAGATTGATAAGAAAGTGTTGGTTTAGACTATCTAGATATCCATGCGATCGCATGATGAACTTCTATTTTACGTTTTCGTCAAAGTGTTGCTAAGCCAGTACAAAAATTTGAATAATCAAATAAATATAAGGACTAATGGTACACACAGATATGAATAGTGATGTTGTTCCGAACTACCGAATGAACAGTAAACACCTGAAAATATAGCATATAGCAAAACCAACTAAAATCTATGTTCGACATCAACTCGTTTATCGTTCATTTGATCAGTTACATACAATTAAAAACCAAGATTAAAACTCACAATTTTTATTATTTTTTTTATTGTATTACAATAAATCATTCTCAGTTTATTTGAATTGTTATCTAAGTGAAAATCATTGAAACACCTTTTTAGCCATTTAATAAAATAGACAATAATATTAATGACAAAGAACATATATGCATTCCTTAATGTTATAGGATGTGGATTTCTTTACAAAGAACAGGATATTAGTATTGCAAAGACAATCATCAGGGATACATGTAGTTGTCATATTGAAAGTTTACCACAGTTAAAGTATGGATACACTTCTAACATAATAGTAAGTTTATCAAATAATATGTACCGAAAGCATAAATGATGCAATTATCATGAACAAGCACTGGACTATTCTCATTGACCATCTGTTAGTCCCAAAAAATCTAGATATAAATGTATGATAATGAAAAAAAAATAATAATAAAAAGAAACGAAAAAATAACAGGACTTAGTCTTACTTTACTCAAACCGAAGATCAATATAAAGCTAACTTGGAATTCAAGCATCAAAGTTTATTGCATGCACTTTGACAGAAAGCTACTTGAAATAACACGGGGTAATTTATTTAATGGTTTGAGGAAACATAGCTTGCATGCATGTTCTTGGACTTCAGAGAACTGTATAAATGTGCAGATTCAATATTGAGTTTAGTGAGAACATGTGGCTGATGATTCTCGAAACGACAAGGGCACATACATGTATTTAAATCCGCTGAATTTGTTTGCACCTGTCCTAATTCAGGAATCTGATGTTCAGTAGTTGTCGTTTGTTGATGTGGTTCATAAGTGTTTCTCGTTTCTCGTTTTTTATATAGATTAGACCGTTGGTTTTCCCGTTTGAATGGTTTTACACTATTAGTCTAGTAATTTTTTTGGGGCCCTTTATAGCTTACTGTTCGGTGTGAGCCAAGGCTCCGTGTTGAAGACCGTACTGTGACCTATAATGGTTTACTTTTATAAATTTTGACTTGGATGGAGAGTTGTCTCATTGGCACTCACACCACATCTTCTTATATCTATGAATACATACAAAAGAAAGTAAATCCGGAATTTCATTATGCTCATATTAACCATTATACATTGTAGTTAACCATTTTTGTTATACTGGAATACATGTACCTTGCCATACTGGAATACCTTTCCATCCTATTTTTGTATAAACTGTTTGGGTTCAATTTATTTGGAAATATATAACTTAAAAAAACACTTTTAATTTACATATATCCATTCTTTGTTTGATAGTTTTACGACTTTTGATAATAAATGCAATGTTTTTGTAAGTAATAATTATTGAAGGATGTTCGCTCCTCTGTTTCGTTTTAAAATAACAAGCTCCTTAAAGGACTGTGATAATTTAATAGTTTAAAAACAACGGAACTTAAAGAGTAGAAAAATGACAGATCGGTGTCTTTTTGTTTGAGATATAACCAACTGAAAGTTTAACGGGAAATATTTCTCTCTAGATTTTTCACATTTTAACACCGACAACTTTTTTTTCAAAAACAATGAAAAATAACAAGGACTTATTTTCAAAAACTGCTTTTTAAACTATATGTAATAAAATCATGAAAGAATAGTACGGGTGAGTGGGCAAAATTTGTATTGGTACTACATATATAAAACTAGAGGATTCCGAATATCAGACAAAAAGTCAAAAACAAGAGTAGCGAATATCCTTAAGGTTATTTTAATGTTAACAAATATTTTCAAATCTAACCTACACTGAAGGAGATATATTTTGGTTATCACAATAGCTTTTAAAGTGTGACTCTCTGATTCAACATTCATTTAAAAAAAATGTAAGACACTAGACTAAACAAACGTTTTTGGTTTAAACATATTGTATAGATTTGTAAGCAGAACACGGTATTATGTTACACCACCATATTGGTCTCGTTGAAGCCTGTTCTCCCGGCTGCGGGAGTTTGATCAACGATAGGTTCAAATCAAACGTTTGGAATTTGGTATTTAGCTATAAGGCAGTGTCAATATACATTATTGTATCACAAACATATGTCCTAGATATGTGTGTACTATTTGCCACTGGACGTTTGACATCCATCAATTTCTATCAATTTGCTGTGAATCTGTTCACTCTATTGCTACCATCTCTTTGTCAATAGCTTTTAATACTTGTTCGACAACAATTAAATTACTTGCGTACAAATGCAGAAATATATTGTCCAATCGAATACTAAATAGATAAAGGCATACTTTTTACTTCGTAAAAAAGTCATTATAAACATCTAATTTTTTTAAAGAAAATATTTGCGACATTATGTATAACACCTCACACTTTGAGTTCACTTAACAACGTGTTAATCTAATCTTCGGAATGTTCGCTATTTTGTAAGTCATACCGTGAATTCGGATATTTTTTATTATACATTGGCTTGCAATTGAAGGTACTGCAATAATATACATGTAGTATGTATGGACAGTCTATAATATGTCTAAAAACATTTCAATTATTCTTTAATATATTTATTTGATTTCAGACAGACGTTACTAATTCAATCTCAGGAAAGGTGACAGTGAGTAATTTACAATAAAAATTGCAACAGAATTATGAAACAAAAATCCTGATTTTGACGAAACTTTACTTGATTTAATAAAAAAAAATGTACATAGATTGTCTGTTAACTTATACTCGTTTCAGTCGGGTATAAACAGACGAAGAACCGCATTCAATATGTATGCTATATTTGTTTACATACTCTGCATTTTCTATCTGGTAGGTAGTTCATTCGTCAGCAATCCCATCAAATCTCCTTTTTTGTATATTAGGCCTTTACAGCTGACATGAAAATTTGATGCTATGCTGATGAGGGTCCGGTTTGAGAGGATTATACAGGTATGCACTGATAATTTGTTTTGAAAAGTCTTGCGGCCATAGTAATAATTGTTTTAACCTTAATTTTGTTTCACGTTTCAGTTGTATTAGTTTGACATTACAGATCTAATAAGAAGAATAAAGCTAAATATATTTTATTGTATTGTTTCTATGCAGTATACCCTCTTTATCATATACTTGTATAAAATATTACTAAAATTTTACAGTTCAATAACATTTAAAATTTATTAGGCTATGAAAGGATTACTAGGTTTATTGATCAGATTCCTAAGAATTTCCTCAGCGGGCTGATAAAGGAACCTTTATTGACTGCTTCCGGAATGTTATCACATGCCTTTCCGTTAATTTCCGTGACGTTTATCACATGCAACGTCGTGCATTTCCGGAAATTTGTTCGAAAACGACAACACAGAGCGGAAAACCGCAAGTGATTTAAGACTTTTCACAAAATGGTTGAGGAGCATATTTTCAAACTAAGTTCATGATAACTGTTGTGACAAGATAAATAAAATGCTTGTAATATCAATAAAAATAATTAAAGTTAAGAAATTTGTATTTGGTTGTCTGTAAATTGTTATCTAAAAATTCATGGAAAGACAAAATTTTAATTAATAGTTCTTGTCTGTATTTCTTCTGTTGAAGTATATGATAAAAAGATAATTACATGTCATTTATCATATCAGACCTGATATGAAAAATGCCATGTAATAATCTATACTTATTACTATCTTGTAACTCATTTTAGCAATAGTTTGTTCCAAAAGTGATGTACACGTAGATTCAAACGTGTCTTGCTGGTGTTTTTTTAAAAGAAAGAATATGTTGTAATCAATTATCATGTTTTCTATTATTCGTTGTAGGCAAAAGAAAACAATCATAAAGTCGATTTAACGAAGGTGAGTCGCTATAGAAAACCACACAACAAACATACTCATATTGATAAGAAAATTAATATCATAGTGTTCAATACTACTTTATAAGTTACAAGTACGATGGAAAAACGAAAACAAAAATATAGAATCGCTCTACTATCATAGCATTTGTTTGATGTTCATACATTTTACAATGTTAAATGTAAATGTAGTATACCATTATTCAGTTTATTATTAAAGAATGCGATCAAACACAATTTGAAAGCAATTAGAAACGTCTTCCATTGAGTTTAAAAGGCTAAAGTTGCTTACACCCGAGTATTTTAGTCTCTGGTGGATAGATAACTTATTGGCAATCATACTGCGGCACTTATATCGATTTTGTCTTCAGCAAATTAAAACATAACTAAATTTGTATTCTTTTCAAACGGGATGTATAAAGACACACCCATGTTCATTTTGATCTATAAAGAGGTTAACTCCTAACTATCCTACTGCCTGTCAATACATTTATTTTGGGCATTGCACAAGTCATGTCTTCTTTGACTGTCCATGAAGTTAAAATACTAAATCCCTGGGATGTGTTTTAGTTGATTTTAGTCTCTGATGCATGATTTTTTATTATTAATTGTTTTTGGCTTTGAACTAGCTGTCAGCAATGGTCAGTAACTGCGAGTACTCTCAAATCGTACTTTCTTGTTTACTTGACCTGTTGATACTAATTGTAATGCTTTTTTTGTAATTTAATGTTTACTTATTCAGGGTTATATCTGGACTATATACCAGCTTTGATAAGTGTTTGGTATTACTATAAATTTTCACTTCTTCGTACTACGAACATCAAAATTATTTATTTTGTAAAAATATTTCCTTTCTTCATTTGAACTGTACACGTATACCTAACAACAAAATTATTTTCATTTACCTGTGTTTAAAGTAATTGCAAATGGCTGATATTTTTGTTCAAGCATATTGTTTTTCTTAAATTGTTTAACATTTCACAGCGGTATAACATGTTACTTTAATTTATCTTCCCTTAGTTTATTTATTTTGTATTTACATTGTATCATAGATCAAATTTATTTGTTCAGTGTATGTTCACTGGTGTTAATATGTCTTTTGATTGAGTTAGGCCATTTCAATATATATTTTATAGTGTGTCTTTCTATGTTTTGATGTTACACTATTGTTTCAGATAAGAGTGAAGGCGTGGTGCCATTCAAACGTTTGAACCCGCTGCAATTGTTTGTACCTGTCCCAAGTCAGGAATCTGATGTTCATTAGTTGTCGTTTGTTGATGTAGTTCATAAGTGTTTCTCGTTTCTCGTTTTTTATATAGATTAGACCGTTGTTTTTTCCGTTTGAATGGTTTTACACTTGTAATTTTTGGGGCCTTTTATAGCTTGCTGTTCGGTGTGAGCCAAGGCTCCGTGTTGAAGACCGTACGTTGACCTATATTGGTTTACTTTTATAAATTTTGACTAAGATGGAGAGTTGTCTTATTGGCACTCATACCACATCTTCTTATATCTACATCTCTTTATAGTCATCAGTTATGTTATAGTGTGTATTTTTATGTTGTAATGATTCACTATTGTCTCAGGTTAGGGTGAAGAATGGCGCCTATTATAACGTTCAAACCCTCTGCATTTTTTTGCACCTGTCCTAAGTCAGGAGCCTGTTGTTCAGTGGTTGCCGTTTGTTCGGTGTGGTTCATAGGTGTTTCTCGTTTCTCGTTTTTTTTATATAGATTAGACCTAGTCTATGGAAAGTGCGAATCGAGAGAACCGTTTCTTATGTAGAGTCGCGATATTTTCTTATATGAAATTGTAAATATGCAGACACTCCACGAGAAAAAAGATGTTTTTTGCAATAAATTTTTAATATTAAACTATATAAACATGTTCAGTTCGTTATTAATTCACGCGACACACAGAAGAGTTTTATGTATTACCAATAGAGTGTGAAATCGATGATAAAAAAGTAATGGACCAGTTGAACGAGCAATAAGGTAAGATTTTGTTATGACAATATAAACTGTTAACCTATCATTTAAATATAAACGAAAATTAAGTCTTGAAGTATGCTCAATATCAAAGTAAAAGAAAAAGATTACCTCCTTGTAAAAATTGTACTGCTACGTTTTTCTTTTGTAAATAAATAAATTAATGCTATTTATTTTATTGTAGAAGCGACATTTTTTTTAGTTGCGGTATGTTTTTATTGTAACTATACGTTTCACGTTAATATGAGGTAGCAGTCTTAGCCCATGGCGTACTGTCAAAAAAAACTTTTGAGACATCTATCGAAATTCTTAATTGTTCTTCAAACCTATTTGTATTAAATAAAAGTTATATGGCAGATGTTTTTCACTTGTTCCGTTGATTGATAGCGTTTGATTTTGTCAGTTTTTATGGACTTCTCCTTTTTGAATTAGCCTTGGAGTTCGGTATTTGTGGTATACTTTTTTATATGTGAAGGATAAAAAACAAGTCATGTCGATAGACCTGCCCGAATTTTCGTTCAAATTGGTGGCCTCGACATAACATCTTTTACATTTCAATATGAACACGTCCGAAAAAATGCATTTCCGATATCCTTACTACATGTAAACTGTATAAATGGTGTTTTAATCCTAAACACAATTCTAAATACATATATATTGTTTGCGCATTCTTTTAACATGTTTAATTTCGTAACATATTTAGATTGAAGAAAGTATTTAGGATTGTGTTTAGGATCATGTTTAGCTTGGAAATTAGTGTTTAAGTCCAAAAAACTTTTAATTATAAAACATAATTAAAAGTTTTTTATATTCAAGACATGTGTACATTAAATGCGTTTAGATAATATCATAATTCTAAACACAAGTTTTCGGGCATGTTAAATAGATGATCACAGGAAAATAAAACTTAGTTCACAACTAAAAAAATATGTTCTTACTTCCACATTTTAACATATTGAATGCAGCTCTTGGCCCCATTGAATCTTCATGCATAATTCGATTAAATTGCAATAACATTACATCAAATATAGATTTTCCAGATATAAGAGGGCGACAAAATATTAGTATAAATATTTTTTGTCTCGCCTCTACGAAGTAATGGAGGCGTACTGTTTCCGGTGGCGTCGTCGGCGTCAACATTTTTTTTTCTAATTTGTGATAAAGTTAGTTTTTTTTAAATGGAGACCACTAACGATAAGTCAATGGATGTTTAGATTGCATTTGTATAAGCATTGGCATATTTTTATGGAGATAGTAAGGCCTCGCCCCCTGAACGATAGTTCATTGAGTGCGAAAGTTTTGCATCGCTTACAAAGTCAGGAATATGACAGTTGGTTTCAATTCGTTTGATGTGTTTGAGCTTATGATTTTGCCATTTGATAAGAGGCTTTCCGATTTTAATATTCCTTGGAGTTCGGTATTTTTGTTATTTTGTATTTTACAGTTAAAGTTTTTAATTTCAGTTTAACGAGAGACAATAAGTCAACGATATTTGGTATGCAGTTGTAACAGTATTATCATATTCATTATCATTCCCAGGGAGATTATTTGGCCTGCAAACTCAGTCATGTTTCATAGGCTTTAAATGTTTTGTATAATAAATTTCAATTTCAAAAACTGCATTTAACTATTAAAATTACATATAGACATGACAGATGATAAATAGATCTGTGTCAATACTTTATTATTCTAGACTGGCACTAGAAGCGGAAGTTGAAAGGTGGTAAATACTGTGCAATATTGATTTGTAAACACAAAATTGATGGACGCGCAGGGAATATTGATCATCGTGTCTACTTCTTTATAAGCTTATAATTTGTTTATTTTGTATGTAAATCATCTATACGAAATTTCAGTGATATTTTACCTGTACCATCGAACCTGTCATGAATAATTGCCGATGTCTCTACTTTGTTTTAATGTAGTGTGCCATATTATCGTATTTTTTTCATGTGAAAAAAGTATCGCATTTCTATTAGAAAAATATCGCAGTGGAAAAGTTTTTCATGATAAAAGCATATCGCTATTCTATTAGAAAAATGTCGCATACACATAAGAAAGAATAGCATTATTATCCTATTACAAGTGATTGTGGCGTAGAATGCAATCGAACAAGCTCAATGGCCATTCCACTGTCTTTGATACATCATTGTCAAAATATTTGGACACCTCAAAATTATAGATCGTGCAAATAGGTTTTGTTTAATGCAAATGCATATTTACTTGTATAAATACAACATACTTGGGATTAAATATTCAAAATACATGGCAAGCTGTATATACGTTTGTCCTGTTAAATACGTCTATGTTTTAAAAAGAATAAGCAAGTACTTTCTGATGAATTTTGTTTTATTCCAATGAATGTCAACATTCGTCTGAGAATCCCCACAATGCATCTCATTTACAAAGAAAATATCGCTACTCCACATAAGAAACGGATTTCTCGATTCGCACTTTCCATAGACTGAGACCGTAGGTTGTCTTTTTTGAATTGTTTTACACCAGTCATTTTGGGCCCTTTATAGCTTGTTGTTCGGTGTGAGCCAAGGCTCCGCGTTGAAGGCCGTAATCTGACCTAAAAGTTGACTTGGATGGAGAGTTGTCTCGTTGGCACTCATACAACATCTTATTTATAATATTTAATCGTATAAATTACTGAAAATATACATGTAGTTATATTTTAGTAGAAAAATAATTTAAAAACTTGAACTGTTTTTTTTTTCGGCTGAAGTAAAAAATAATGATGACAATGATAAGAAAAGTGATCGGTTATGAAACAAAATTAAGTTAAACAAGAAAAGTATTTTGGGTAAAAGAAATGCCACACACCCGCGCATACATAAGGAACAGACGCTTCGATTAAGAGAGCCATTACAAATATTTAAAGGCATGCCTTAATCTTACAGTACTAGGTTGAGAAGTTTCATAGTTCAGTTCAGTGAGCAATGAATATTCACTATACGTTTTGTAGTGTAAGCAATAATTCTTATTTATAAAACAATCCTCTTAGGGAACACTTGTTGAGGTACAATATCAATTTATTGGGTTTTTTTTAAACAAGTAGTATTAAAATAACCTTACTGTTCATTATTTTGTATAAATAAAGGGAACAAAGCATGAGAAGCTGTATTATCTTTTAATATGTTTGGTTGGAATATATGCATGCAACATATAGTCAAAATACCTTTTGCATTGGTGTATATAAAAAAAACATCATGTGTAGCGAATGTTAGCATACAAATCAATGTTATAAGAGGTTTCAGATTGTACTGGCGTTTGAAAATATTTTTTGGAAAAGTAGAGCTAGTTAAGAAAGAAAGAAAATATTGCAAACCAGACAATATTTTTTACCTCTTTTAGCTTTTAGAAATAGAGAATTACATCAACACAGAGGGGAGAGTGAAATTCGAAGATGTAACTTTGAGAAAAAGGAATTTGAGTAATCCATCTGGGAGTGACAAAGGTATATTAGTATTTTGTTTTTATATGAAAGGACAATTGAAAACAGCGATTCAAGTTTAATGATTTCAAAGAATCTACTGCTATCATGGCTATCATATATACTCAGAGGGATTATTTTTTCCATGGCGTTGTTCATGTTTGTTGGTAATCTTTGATTTAAGCGTTTAAATTTCATCTTGTATTTGTGTTACCCCATCCCCCCTTCCCAAAAAAAAACCACAAACAAAACACAAAAAAAACACAAAAATTATTACAGACAAAAACACAAATCAAACGCAAATAAAAATAGATAATAATCCAATATACTCGGAATCCCTTTAATAACTTTTTAATGATTCAGTAATTTATACTTATTTATTTTTGAGTTCAATGTACTTTCAATTTCTAGCATTGGCGATACCAGTAGTTGACTGGTTATCCCCGAATATATCATCAGCTCAGTAGTCAGGGAATTGATAACATATCAGAAATTCTCCGTTGATCGATTTAAAAAGTATTTCGAAACTAGTAAAAGTTCTAACTCCCGCAAGCAGACTTGACCATGGTGGATTTGGCTATTCGTTTTAATTCTCTTTTGGTCACAAATTTTGTTAAGTATTCAAGTATCATTTCATCCTTGGTTTACATGCATTTTTTTTAGACTTGAGCGTCCCAGATAAAGGTTAAAAAAAAGCGCCTCGGACACACCATATTTATAAATTTCATATTGCCTGTTTTCATATTTACATTTTCATCTTTGGTATTGCAATTGAGATAAAACCAACAGATAAATAAAAAAAAATAAATAAATAAAGAATGCTAACGACAAAAAAAGCAAAGAATGAAACAATTCATGATTACGATTTAAATTCGTGATTTAGAATTCAAATACATATTTTTTGTAGGTCCTAAATGGGCTTCCGTACATATTAATAAGACAGCTCAAATTAAAAGAGTAGGTAGGCCCAATACAAACTTTAATATAAAGAGCATGTATAACCGAAGAGTCCCCAAAGATGTGTCAAAAATGATTTTTTTTTAGTAACTACGGTAATGTTACAAAGGGCAAAAAGATAATGTCTATTTACCACTATGATGTGTAGCACTAGTTATATTGCCGACTAAACCGATATAACATGCATTTTGAAGATCAATTTTGATATCAATCATTTTCTTATTGAAATACGTTTTTGAAACAGACTATAACATTGCAAGATTTCGGAATGTGGAAATATTATAACTTGAGCATGAAAAAATTTCCTTTAATTGAATTGTTTAATTTCGAGTTTTTACCTTTTCTATTTTTTTATTCAACTTATCCATTAAGGGTTTTAATGTGTTATCATGTTTGAAAACCAAAATTAATGTCCAATTTATGATATATACAGATTTGTTTTCAATCGATACAGTAGACATTTTGAAAACGTGTCATTATCTTCATGGCGCGTCGACATTCGAGCTAATCCTTGTTTTCAAATAAAGCATACCCTTCAAATATGAAAAAAACGGCTATTACAAGGTGATGAATTGTCCATTTATAACAAATTATTATGGTTTTCATTAAATTCCAAGTAACATGACTGCATGATTTTCACACTTTTTGAGCATTATAATAAAGAAATGACAGTTTGCTATAATAGATAACAATAGCGTAATTATTTTCTATATGATAACAGTTGCCATTACATTTTTTCTAGACAAATAAACAAACAATAACAAATTAGTTTAATTTTGTATTGCTTTAAATATCAGCGTTGTATTACAGCAAAACAAGAAGAATATTGGCATTGGGCAAAAGTTGACCAAAAATGCTTTAGGCCGTTAGTTTTATCGTTTGAATTGTTTGCCATTTGTCTTATCGGCGCCTTTTATAGCTGACTATGCGGTATGGGATTTGCTCATTTTGGAAGGCCGTATGGTAACCTATAGTTGTTATCTTCTATGTCATTTGGGCTCTGGTGGCGAGCTGTCTCATTGGCAATCATACCAAATCTTCTTGTTTTTATATTTGCATACTAAACTAGGAAAATCAATTCTTAATGTCATCTTTGTTAAAACATATGAATATATGTTCTACATCTTTAAAAATGAGGAGATAACTGTATTGTATTTAATGTTCCGACGGCATCAATTGGTGATTTGATGGTCGCAAATTACGTTTACTGGCGATGCGTTAGCGGAGCCAGTAAACGGGTATTTGCGACCATCAAATCACCAATTGATGATGTCGGAGCTTACAATACAATATTGTTATCTCCATTCAGATGAAACCGTCATTAAACAACGTCAAAACGTACATTAAAATCTATCATTCATCGTCTGCGCTTGCGCGTACGTTTTCATAGCATCAATTATGAATTGATGCCATGAAAATTGGTGACGTTATCCAATCAAAATGAACGTTACAAACGATGTTGCATTAGAATGTGGATTTAATTGGTGGAACTTTAAAATCTTATGAATAAATTATAAGCTTTCAATTAAAAAAATACAACCCTGTATCATCTAATCAGGATTCACACACGATAATTCACTGTACTCCATATGGGGATAAAAAAAGGTGCTGGTAAAATTTTAACAAATAATTAATTATAGCCAGTCAAGGTCGTTTAACCAAGCAATCATTATTGCTGATTGAAATACAGAATAAGCCAAAAACTCTTTTACGTGCAGGCAGCAATCACGTAACACAATCGTAACCACGCTTCAATTTATCGTTTGACATTTGCTTCTTTTCGACAATGAACGCACGTTTTGTACCAGTGATCAGCATTATAATTTTACACAGTTTCAATTGTTCATTGAGCTGTGAATCTATAATTTACAATTTTGCACACTACTAAACTGTTTACACAATGAATTCAACTAGTGTCAATATTATCTATATCAATTTTATTATTTAACACAATATTGTTTTATATACAAACTAATTTAAATGTCGGTATAATTATAGTTTTTGTTACCGAAAATGTAAGATGCATCGATTTTTTCTATGTAAACGATAAATAATTACTGTTCTTAGACACACGTGTCTCTATTTAAATAACGAGTACAAAAAAAAGAGAAAAGGTAAATATACAGGAATACAGCAATTCAATGCATAGTGATTGCGCTCTAGTAACCTAAATCAATGATACAAACATATATTATGAGCCTTACTTATTACGTTCAAAGTCAAATTTCATATTTCAGAAATAAGAGTTCCAGTTGTTTTGTTTGTAATAAATGGTGGTTTAGATACACTGGAACATGTAATTAGAGCTATCTACACAAACATATCGGTTGTCGTTGTTAAAGGCACTGGTGGAACAGCTGATCTTATTGCCTTGTGTCTTAAAGAGTAAGTTTATTGGTAGCGTTTTTTTTTTTTTCTTTTTTTTTTCTCGTACATGTACACTTCTCAATATTTAAAAGTATTAATTTAGCACACTTGTTTAATATGAATGTAAACTTTAAAGAAATAGTTTGAATGTCTAGATATGCGTGCATACAAACTCTTATACTACATAAAATATTTGATGTTTCATTGTCAAAAAGAGTCTGAAGTGAAGGATGACTCATCGTCCATTATAAAGAAATTGTACTAATGAAAGATAATTCCGATGCGTAAGTAAAGTTACACACTTCAGATACCTCTAATAGTTAACTGAAGATATTAGTTCTTATTCATTGAATTAGTCGTCTACCGAAATCCAAAATTTGTTACAATAAGACACATATATTCACAGCCGGTCCCAACGGAAGAGCTAATACGGTATTGATGTTAACAATATCATTCAATAATAGAAATGAAAATATGGAAAAGAAACAGCGCCTACAGATAGAGATATCGTTTTAGACAATTAATAAGTGCAGAAACTACATTTTTGTATGTTCGGTCTTATACTTTAAATTTGAATATGATGACATCTACAGTTCTTCGTAAGATATTATTACAACAAATTGCAACGATATCTGTACATGCAAACCACAACAATGTTATTGACATCTGAGCATTCTGAGTGAAACATATCTAATAAAGAAATACAATCTCTGCCGTTTTGAATAAAACATGTTTATGTACAATGTAATGTCTTTAATGTGAATTTTGATAAAATATTAGCCAATTTATTTTTTCAAAAAAAAATCGATTTTAAACTAAATAAATGAAACATGCATAACATTTATACTGTATGCATCAGAAATATACCGCAAAGGATTTAAATATTTACATATGAATGGTACGTTCGGTGTAAGATTCAAATGGGAATGGTACAGACGAGTTGTCTAATGGGGATTTGGAAATGGTGCAATCAATGGTTAATTAGGGATTGTAATACGGATCAAATACTGGATGAATTAAAAAAAAAATCCTTTCGTAATATGTTTTTCTATTTCTATTTTATGTACCTAAAAGTATCATACAGATCATAAATGTCTATTCGTATATAACTCAATATTAAATAAGTTTTACACTTCTAGAGAATTTGAATAATAACTAGTTGTCAGTGCCTTGTTTGGAACTTGATTATTGTTGCAAAAAAAGACAAAAATCTTTACGCATATTTTCAGCATGACAAAAGTGAAGAAGAAACTACCAGTTATCTTTGCAAAACGTTTCAATGATGACATGTATGACAAAATTGAGAAAATTCTTAATCGAATTGTCGAAAGAAGTTGGATGGTATTGTAAAAGTTATTTTTTTTAAATTTATGCATAAGTGTTTGAAAAGAAATAACTGTCAATGATAATAAAAGCATCATGTCGTCCGAAAACATTCTAAAATCAGTAGTTCCACATCTGAGAACGTTTCATACAGCAATGTCATAAACAATACAGAAAACTGTTAGTCGCGCTTCAATCATAAATAAATGAATGAAAAATGCCCCCTCAACCTGAAATTAAACAAACAAACCACAAAATTAAACCAGCACAATGATTGAAAACACACAGGTTTATTATAGCATTTAGACTAGTTAAATTGCATCCTTCAGCAGTATGTCTACAATTGAAAAAATAAAAACCAAATGTATGACAATATGTTTAGTTATAAATTATAAATAGAGTTACCGGTAAAGATAGGAGTCAAACGCAGCAATAATAAACAGATTAAAAGGACGAATTTAAAAGTCAGGAGTAATAAACGAATACAGACTTTAAGCCAGCAGAAAAAAGACAGCAAACAAACAACAGTTTACAAAAACATAACAATTGGTATACGAGTGTAGTACTGTTGATTAAAGAAGCAATCGGAGTACTAAACAGCACGAACTCCACAAAAATCCGGATGCTCTCCTTATTTGTTATCAAATTAAATAATGTGTTGACCGAATTATATTACAGTAAAGGATAAAAGTACAAAAACTGATCCATTGTTCCGAAAGGAATACCAATTCTATATTTCAAAATATAGGATTTATATGTCATTTGTTGTTATAATTTTTTTTTTATTTCTGAGAAAAAAAACTTTAATATTGTATCCCTATTGAGAGAGAGAAGGGTTTGTTATTAACAGCAATACACACATCGCCAAAAGATTATAAGCTATCCGATATATTCAAAGACTTTAAATCAAAAGAAAAAGTAAAACATGATATTATTAAAACTTCTTTGAAATTCTTAATATTTGATAATTAGTTTTAGAATCACCGATCATAAGAACCGATGTATCTGCACTTAGATGATTCATATAATTAAATGGTTTGTTTATTTTAAACATTTTTTTCCCCATGCAGCGCAGTCATTTCCTACTAAAGTGAATTGAATCATATTTGTGCACATATTTTGATATTAATTAATTTTTGTTGCAGATTTCAATATTTAATGTAAAGAAAAATAAGCATAAGGAACTATGGGAAAAGTTAACGGATGGCATAATGCGAGCATGGTCATTTGAAGAGAAAAAAGGTGCTACTATTCAAATGTTGCGCAATTTAACATAACAATTATAGTTCAATTTCAAAACACAAAATATAGTTAATGCTCTTAATTAAACTTTCAAATGATGTCATCACTGTACCTTCCGTCGTCAAATAGCTTCATCGTGAGAAAGTGCTGCTGTGACCTCCGTAATCAAGTAGCTTCACTTTTTATGTTCGACAAAAAAATGGACTAAATAGGCAATTTGTTGCGGTCCAAAGCATCTCTGTTCAGAAAAATGATGGGAAAGTCACTCAGAAAGTCATACTCCATATTTATATTTTTTTATAAACCCTTTTGATCTCGATTGTTTAACAATGTGGCTTTCTGTATTTTACCTGTGGTCTATTATTTATTATTATACTTCACGCAAAAATGCAATATTTTGATTGGCTTATACGAGGGTGTTAATTTCTCTATTCTATTTTAAATACTCTATTACCCTTCACGGAGACGCTTGATCAAGTGTGCGCTTTATCAAATACGACTCTATCCTATGGCAAATAATCTATTACCCTTTACGGAGACGCTTGATCAAGTGTGCGCTTTATTAAATACGGATGGTTGTAATGTACAAGACGTCATAGTTTATTACTTTGAATTTGAAATTTAATCGACAGTAATAACAGAACATTCAGTATAATAAATTAAATAAAACATATCAGAGAGGGTGATAGAGCAGATTGTTACCCCTCGAAAAGACATTGTCAACCTTGGCTTCGCCTCAGTTGACAATGTTTTCTCGGGGTAACAATCTGCTCTATCACCCTCTCAGCTATGTGTTATTAATATAATAGTACTTAACAACTGCTTTCAAACCACAAGTTTTTAAAGCCGAATGCATATGACGTCTTGGAACATCAAAGCAAGGACAAAAATTGAAAGGACGCAAAATTTTATTTGAATCGCAGTTTGAAACCATTTAAATATTTTAAGAGGAAATAGGGATCAGAATGTGTCGTGTTTATCTGGTTCGAGCCAATCACTGGCTTTTTTGCGAAAAGTAAATAATTAAAAAAGAATTTGTTTCATATACGGTTATGTGTATATGTATTGAGATGGTAATCGGAAATATTAGTTGTAGTGACTGACAACTTAATACATTTTGATACATTATGGTCATAGATATATTTCCAAGCGACTTCATTTCAATATTCCTATGTTGACCGCTATTTATACCAATTTTGATATGTGTATGAATTAAAGGAGATGTGAGTAAAACATTATTTTCTTCATTATATTTTACAGATGAATCTTATCTGACCACAGATCTTATGAACTTATCCCAAATAGATTTTATTTCTAAGTATGTCGCTGAAATAGACAGTTTATCGAAGAAAGAATTATTTGGTGGTTATGATATGCAAACACAGAGTAAAAGTCCAGTTGATCTTCAGCATGTTCAGGTAGAGATAACATAGTAATACATAACTTAGTCAATTAACGTCAGTAATTAAACTAAAACGACAACAAAAGTATTCCCATTTCTCTGCAGAAACGTAGCCCATTCCATCGCATACCGTTTACATATCTCTTGATAAGTAACGCTCGTGTTCACATTATACGGATTATAAAGTTTAAAATTATTCAGAATCAGTGATTTCAATCGAAAATAGTGAACATACATTTTACGGTCACCACTATACATTGATTGACCGATAGGATGTATGTTTATTTCAGCTCTCAAAAGAGGAAACCTGGTACATACGTAGTCCAAATAATTATGATGTCTTGAAAGGCTATTTTGTGTTGTTGATTTGACACCTTCGTGTGACGTGATAACGCTGAAGCCATTTTTTTTTTTGGTTGGACAGTGAAAGGGAATGTCTCTCTCAACTTTAAGAACTAATTTATCCATAACATTTTCATTGACGACTAGAAATGTTTGCATATATACAAATTCTTACCTTTTATGAGTTAGTTCGTGCTTAATATTGCCAATGATGTCCCAAATTAATGATAAAATAAGTCACAATTCAAACAGAGGCAGACGATAATCTACTGCGTTTTTTAAACGTTTAACTGATTTCACTTTAGGAAAGTATAAAATAAATTGTTGAACCTAAGTCGGTAAAATTTGACTCGAATTTCCAAAACGTTTGATTTATTCTATCCGGAAATGCAGGTCCGTCAAATTTTACCGAGTTTGGTGTCAAAAATATTTTACACTCCTAAAGTGAATCGTCTGGGGGAGAATTCAGCTAAACGTTTTAATAAAGCAGTAAATTATCTCTCAAAGTCCAACTGAAAAAATCAGTTCGGCATTATGACGTCACAGGAGGGCGTCAAAGCTAAAAAAAATAAAATAGCCTTTCAAGGTCTAATAATTATTTGTCCATGGACTAGTAATATACGGTCTTAATATCTATGCATACAAGATAGGTCATTTGATTTTTAAATTTACCGATTTTTTTCCTTTCCCTATTGTGATATTTGAACTAAGTGATGAATGACATGCCGGTTTACGAGATATATCATCGGGAGCAGATGATTGTCCAAGCCTTGTTTGATCTTGTAACCTTGTTCAAATACCTGATGTGCTTCTTACCTGGCCATAGTCATTTGGTTTAGAGGCATCAACGACGGCAAAAAACCAAGGGGCTGAAAATGTAATCACAGGGAATAACAGGATTGTTCAATAGAGGCTTCAGTTTGTCCGGGTTATTAATCGCTCCTGCAAATGTTTGGAAACACATCAAAATTAATCTATTAATTTGCTTGGTTTTTCAGCATACATTTGTAAATGCTTTTCTTGGGAAAAGGACAGATATAATTCAACAAATACTAAGCAGCAACGAACATTTTGCATTATCTAAAGAACAATTCACAACATTATGTCAGGAGGTAATTATATTTAAAGGTACATTCAAACTACATATAAAACGAACGAGTGATTATCATTGTTAAGTCAACCAAAATAAAATCTCAAAATAAAGAAAGTCAAATGATGTACTGAGATAGAGGGTAATTCTACAGTCTGTACAGTACTAAGACCAGTGAAAAGAAGACACCAGATTAGCTAATGATCCATGCTTGTTTTGATTGCACAACTACGTCTTGTCAATTTAAACTTACATAGGAATTATTCAATAATATAGAATGTTTTGTATCGATGTAGAGCCGAAGAAAAAAATGAAATGTCGATATTAAATACTTAATACAATAAATTATGATTTCTTTTTAAGAAAAACTGTATAATACTTTTGAAACTTTTTTTCAATGAGATACATTTCATTCATAACACAGTTAATGTAATCATAAAATATGATTTAATCATACCATATATCCTTGTTTCTAATGATGACTAATTAACAAACGTTTGAAGATCATTTTTATTTGTCATCTCTGTTTAAAATTTTTGAACTTACATTCCTCTTTGTGCGTTTTTAGACCATAAATACAGTTAAATAATAGACTGCAAAATGTTTGAACATTTTCAAGCTTGTTTTGTTTGTTCATCATGTAAAACATAATGCTGTTATTCAAGCCCTGTATATTGTAGGTAGTAAAGTCACGAACCAGCACACCAGCAGGCAATGACAAGAACGGATTTAAATTACTTGAGGTACACTATCATAGTTTTCTGACTTCCATTATTTTGAATGTTGGATAACTTAAATTACAATCCCACTGTATAGTGTATATACCAATAAAAAGTTGTTCTTCACAGTAGAGGGGGTCCAATTAAAAATGATAAATTGTTTGTATAAAAGATATTAAGCATGCGCTGTTCAACATGAAACACAAACGAACAATGGGGGTCATGCGCTTTCTAAGCTCACTATTTCAAGCCCAAAATATCATTGGGAAAGGTCCTTTTAGTTACAATTTTATAAAGACAATACATGCATTTAACAATTAAAGGAAATGTGGAGGTACGATAATGACAGTAAACAAACGACGCGCAAAACCAATTAAGACATCTGACATTAATACACAATTTTCAATAAGAATGATGGCTTCATAATATAACTCTAAACGGCTCTTTGTGGTTAAATCTTTGATGATATAATAGAAAAATAATAAAGTATATGTTATCAACACAAAATTCACAAAACGACTTATATCCTTTGTTTTGAAATGATACAGTTACATGAATGTGTGGTAGGTTTAATATTTTATTCAGTTTAATCTGCTATTGGTTTAGTTTTTTTTACCGGGTAGTAGATTAAAACCATAAAAAAAAAATGAAAATATTTGCACACAATTACTTTAGTAAACTTCAACTTTTTAACTTTAGAATGTGCACCCAGAAGCAGTTTCATATTTGACAAATGGCAAAGGAAAAGGTTTTAAAGACACACAAGATGCCATTAGGAGCATATCGAATAAACTCCTTCAAGGTGAGTGTAAAACGTAACTTAAAATTGGACGAACTTAAGTAGATATATTTTGGTTAAAACAGGAAAGTAGCCCAAACAGTAACTATATAATCGCCAATAAAATCCAGCCCAGATAACTTCAATTTCGACGGTTGACAAAATTCAAATCTGCCTTCATTTTTCTATTAAATGCATGATATGATATTTTTGCGTTTTATATTCAGAACGATTTATTTAATACACGTAAATAAAAACTTAAGACCTAATTTACAACAAAACAGTTTACGAAAAACAAATATGACAGATATAAACAAACGACAACCTTTGAACTACATGTTCCTGACTTGGGTCAAGCACTTTTAAGACGTGGCGGGGTTAAACATATTTGAAGGCAGTAACCCTCCCTTACTATTTGTAACTTATGACAGTGGTTTAATAGTACCACACAAGAACAAACTATACAAATCAGTTGAAAAGGGCTAAACTAACAAGATCAATACAATGCTGGAAAACACAGATTGGGCGTGTCAGGGAATTTTTAAATCCCCAAATATGAGCAGCCACCAAGAAACATAGTACAGGTCTGAGAGTTCTCGCAGTTACTGACAATAAGTTCAAAAACAATAACAACTAATAAAAAATAAATGTATATAAGACTAGACTATCAATCATTACACATCCAACATCCAATGGATTTAGTGTAAAGAAGTCATTAACGATCAGAGATAAACATACAGGACCTTGTACAATGCCAAAATATAGGAACATGTATCGACAGATAGAGGAAAATTACCAATATAGAAATTGGTGTGTGGAGGTTCTTGTGTGACATTGAAAGCTAAAAATCTAGGAAAGGACAGTTATTAATGTTAATATTTCATTCATTTGAAGTAAGTTCCTTTGGGTAAATTTTAACAGTATATTTAGAGAAGTTTTGATGTCTTAATGAAAAAAGTTCATGAAGAGAACGGTAAGGGTTGTCTAATTTATCAATTAAATTGAATTTAGACGGTTCCTAACTTTGTGATGCATAACAGTAATGAAACAAGTATGCTATTAAAGAACAAAATTTGTTCCCAAAGAAATACCTACAACCTGTCAATAAACTGTATTTCCGAAACGTACATACATGTTGTCAAGGAGAACATTTACAACTTAAATCATCTCATTACATTCCATTAAGTATATCTAGCATATTTATATTTCTCCATCAGCAATCAGATTTGTCAAACGACCATCTGTTGAAATAGAAAAATTTGTGTTTGTAAATATTGCCCGGAAGTGCAGTACGAAGAATAAAAAAATCAAAACTGTCAACCGAATCAAAAGGACCATCAAAAGCACGTTATGTATCTAAAGCACCCAAAGAATTTTTAACACTAAAAAAATAGTTAATTCAACTATTTTCATATTATGTTTTATTACAAAAGATAATGATAAGTTTTTAATAGTAGTTAAAGAACTAATTGAAAGCACTGAATATTGGGAGTAGAAGACTTAATAGAGGCCGAGATGAAAACGATATTTTACGGACTGTTTTGTGAAGTTTATGTACCAAATACATAGTGGGACCTTCAAAAGTTAAGAAGAGTCCTTAATCTTAGCTGTGGTAGTGACATGATTATTTACTTTTTGATTCTCTATGGAGTGTACTGCCTTTAATGTAGTTGAATGTATAATTAACTATACTTGAAAAAACAAATGTACAAATTCTCAAAGACTTCCGTGTAGTTCTCATGTCATACCACCACCACAGTGTTGGTTGCTGTGTCGGCCTGTACGAACGCAAACGCTTTGCGAGTACTCGATTTTTGTTTAATCCTAAAAACGAGCGTATTACTTACTCTTTTAAAATTCGAAATGTTATATGCGAAATTCAGACATTTATTTCAAAAGAAATCAAGTTACTTTTTGTTAGATTTCTCTAGTGTACACCAATTTTAACAATAGGATGAAAGAGCATTTTTGATGACCTGACCAAACTCTTTCAATTTATTTTCGACGGTGGACAATATATGAATTTTTTTTTCAGAAAGTTTATAACCTTTCGGTCTTGAACGATGTTGAGGCCCCTTGTAATTACATGGCCATATGGATCTTATCTTAACTTTGATGTCCCACAGTCTCATGATGAAGGAACACTATGTTCTATACTGCCGTGTGATGTAACTGACGTATAATTAAAAATTAATTTTTCTACTGTCTTATACGAATAGGAAATTATCGGTGGCTCTATCTTATCGAAAAATTGGGGTAAAATGTTTTGAACGGTAGAGTCATATCACTATTTTGTTTATATTGGATTTTTTTTTCTAGGACTCTGTTTTTCAAAACTTGGGTTGGTAACATGCTGCAGAAATTCTAAGAAGTCTGATGAAAAGGCATCTATGCACTTACCGGAGAAAATTCCTGTTATTGAGTCATTGAGAGTTGCAATAATGGGGAACAATGTTGAACTAGCAGCTGAATTGTGGAGCAACTGTGACAATCCAATGCGTAAGACTTCATTTCTCGTTGTCCACTTTCATGTTTGGCGACATTTTAATACAATATATATCTACGAAAAAAATGTATTGTAATATTACTTTAGTATGTATTTATTATAGCATGATACATTCCTGTGCCTGTACCAAGTCAGGAATATGACAGTTGTTATCCATTCGATGTGTATGAGCTTTTGAATTTGCAATTTGATTAAGAACTTTCCTTTTTGAGTTTTCCTCGGAGTTCAGTATTTTTGTGATTTTACTTTTTATTTTTTTCAGTTATCATGGTTATAAAGAGTCGCCTTTGTCTTCTTAAATAGTATTTTTCATTCCAAAGTATGTCAACAAATCATATACATAGAACCCATAGCTTGATCATATAAAATGTGAATTATAGCAAAGGTCTAAATCTAGAATATCAAATTCACCTTAAACCTTGACTTCAATTTCTAGGTCCTAAAGCAAGGTTATCATTTGAAAAACAGTTCTTTTCGGTGGACCAAGGACCTCAAATCAAAAGACCTACGGTCTTGAAAACTTATGGATAAATAGTGTCAGTTTCAAAAGCGTATAATCTGTTTGTTTTCGTATACTTAATATCTGAGAGACATCTTGCAAAATAAAAACTCACCGCAAGAAATAAAATGGTGGAAAAAAATTATTGATCAAAAACGAATAGTTAAAACAAAACAATCGAAGGTCTTTCTAACCAAATGCACTCAAGATAGGAAAATGTTGATAAAAATTGGTATGTCTGGTGCTACAAGAGAGGTTATTTCACATTGATTCTAAAACGACAGTATGTAAGGCACCTTTTCATCAATTTAGGAAGATAATAAGTCATTTCAAGTTAAATCGAAGTCACTTCCGGTGACAAAAAAATAATTTACTTTAGCTGACTCCAAAAATATATGGTTCTATATACTTTGCTTGATATAATGGAGATTTTTTGCAACTTCCGGTTTTAAAAACAAAAACCACTCTGTACTATCTGATAGATTTCTTCACACTGATTCTTAAAATAAATGATTGTAGGTACTTCTAAATGAATTCGGTGTAGGAAATTGCTACTTTCGTTTTATAAAAGGTCTCTTCCGACTGCACTTAACAAGGTTATATGTCTACCAACCTAATATAAAAGACCCCGTAGCTTTATCATGTATAAAAATGAATTTATAGCAAAAGGCAAACACTACAACGTCAAATTTATCTTTGACTTTGAACTCAATTTGAAAGCCACAAAGCAACAACCTTTAATCAAATGACCAGAACTCAATTTTATAAATGGTTAAATAGTTATATCCTGATACAGCGAATTTTAAAAATCATGGGGGCGCTTTATCATAAACAAAATATATGAGAAAACAAAATCTTGTTGCAAAAAATAAAAGTAGAGCGAGAAAAAAACTAATAATCAGAACAATATCAATAGGTCTTTCCACGGAAAAGTAGAAAGACCTAATAATTATAATAATCTGAACAAAATGAAAAGGTCATTCCACAGAAAAATGGATAGACCTAACAATAATCAGAACAAAATTAAAAGATCTTCTCACTTTTCCGTGGAAGGACCTAATTACGGTATTTAAATATACCAATTCGAATGTTTTTAATAAGTGATAATTAATACTATTCTTTTCATAATATAGATTGTTGTTTATAGCATACATATACAGTCTGCCTGTGACATGACTCTTTCGCGAACCGATCCAATAATCCATTAAAATGCATTCAGCTAAATGGATATGTTCGCAGCCCCTCTGTAAACATTTGAATAGCATTTCCTTTTTTTAACGTTGTAGCCAATGGAATCTAAGTCTATCAAAGATATAATGTGTGTTTCTTGTTTTGAAAAAAATTACAATAATGTAACTCCTTTTTGAAAATCATTTAGTTTGCTTGTATTTTTTTCTTTCGGACATAACTAAAGCCTTTTGTTAGTCAATGTGTCTGAACATCCTGACTTAATATCTGCATGCAACAAGAAGTAATGATAATCTGGTCGGAAAATAATGGTTGATATCAAGGCTGATCCACATTATTTACATGTACTCCGATTTCTGATACTTTTACGTATTATGTCTGTTTGTTTTGATCAATATAATGGAATTCTGTGCGACTGTCATACATTTGAGAGGATTAGCAAGATAAAAAAAACAGGTTTAATCCAAATGTTCCACATAATGAAATGCCTGTACAAAGTCAGGAATATTACAGTTGTTTTCTATTCGTTTGAGGTGTTTGAGCTTTTCATTTTGCTATTTGATAAGGAACTTTCCGTTTTGAATTTTCCTTTCTGTATTTTTGATTTTTTACTTTTTTCATCTTATATCATAGTTGCACTGTAAACTATCTCAAATTCGTACAATTTATCAATACATATTAACCCGTGCCATTTTAGTACTTAGTAAATATAATTGATTAATATACATTACATATTTTATAAACAATTCAATTGGACAATACATTATCACGTGATATTGAATACATCAGTTACATTTCATTTGAATGCAAGAACGGACGAATAACCATAAAAATTTGCACCCAGTGACGAATACCCCTATAATTCACCAGCCAATGAACAACCCTATTATTCATCGGCTGGTGAGTAACCTGTTAGGCTGCTTGATTTGTACACAAGTGATCCCTCATGGCAATGAATGACGTCACAGACGTAAGTAGACAAAATGGCAACGACCACGTTAAATGACCATTGAGTGACCGGAAAACAAGATAAAACAAACAAGTCCTGGAATTCATCTAATGCCGATGATATCCCTCATAAACAGTTATTTTAAGGGCCATCAATATTTTACAGTAGGGGTCTACCTTTATTATTAAAAACTTATAAGACACACAATAATTTTCTTTCGTAAGTGTTTTGAAAATCTAATACCGAAGAAAGTCAAATGCCTCTACAATCGTTCAAAGGTCGTTCCATTATTTGGTCGGTATAATAAAACATTAGATGCGATGAAAGTCCGAAAATTGTCGAATTTACAGTGTAAACATTAAATTTTATTAATACGCAAAAAGCATTTTAGAATAATAAACTTAGTTCTGTCAATTTTTTAGTGACTGCTCTTGTCTCAAACGTTTACCTCACTGCTATGGCAAATAAGGCAGAACAGCTGTTTGAGGAAACACTTCAAGCTGATATGTTATCTCATTCTAGGTAAGATTAATATATATTGGTTTTGACAAATATACCGAAATATTCCTTCATCGAAGGAAACAGTTCAACTATCTAAAGGCCAAGTTTTATTTTTTAGTAGATATAAAAATATGGGGATATGGTCTGATTGCCAATAAAACATCTATCTACCAGAGTTCAAAAGGAGTGGATGTAAGTAATTGTAGGCCACCGTACGGCCTTAAGCAGCAACAAAAAACATACCTTATAGTCGGCTATAAAAGGTCCCGACATAAAAAAATGTGAAACAAATCAAAAGAGAAAACAGAAGACCCAACTCATAATAAAACAATTTACGAAAAACAATTATATTAAACGTGAACCAACGACAACTACTGAATTACAAGCTCCTGACTTCGGACAGGCACATAAAGAATGTGGTAGGGTTAAATAATATTTCCTGTAATGACAGATTGGTTGTAGATCTGATATTAAATGTTATATTTATAATTGGTTATATAATTTATTAATTGAGATCAGATAATTATTACACTTCTATAGTACAAAAATAAAAGTGTGTATATAACTGTGATCCCTAAACATATCATTATATACTCTAGATGAGATTTCACAAGTATGCTCAATTTCCAAAGCATTCATCATGAGCATGAATCAATCTTTAAATTGATTTCTAAAACAGCATTCAAGTTACTTAATTTTGATCTATTTTTTTCATTGAAAACAATTTTTGTTGAAATCGATTCACTTCTTGCATTTTAACATATAAAAGTATTTACATGCTTCAGAGCTTCTTTTTTCGTTTTTAGAAAATTTACCTCGCGTGCAGTTAAACTTTTAGACAAAATGTTTATTTACAAGGAAACAATGGCAACTAAGGCTCTTGACTATGTTTCCGAAGTTTGGGATCATAAAGAAAGTCCTTTACATTTCGGACATCAATTTAACATGGAAGAATTTATATCTCATCCATCTGCGCAGAAAGATGCCAGTAAACGAATGTTTCCTTACGTCAATGAGGAGGACACTACAGTAACTATGAACAAACCAACGGAGGGAAATAATACAAAGAATGTCAAAAGTCGGGAATGTTTGCCATATATAAAGGTTTTAATATATTCAAAATACTAGCATGTGTCTTATAATCACACATCATGCATGATGATGTCAATAACAGATAACATGACTTATAATGTACTAGTAAAAGCTTACAATATGGATTGTACATACACTAATTACATGAAGTTGAGAGCTTAGATGGACTCGTTAATACATAATTACGAAAACCAGAATACAATAGGTTTTCTTTTAATTTATATTTTATTCCAAATTGCGAATGACAGCACAAACATATCAATTTCACGTTCATCCATTCCTTGTTTTTTTTTTTGTGTCCCTCTTTTACATTATAGGTTTTCATATTTCTGCACGTTGACAATTCCGGTATTTGTTTTCAGAACAATAGAGAAGAAATAGTTTTTCGAAATGCTTAAATGTTGTGTTATGTTAATTTTGATTGCTTAGACTACACAATATCGATTGAAACAGCGTCTGAACGTTTGAAAACGTCGTACTTATTTTTCTCTTGCGGAGAATTCAGTCATTATGACTTGATTAGACAAATATGATCGTTTCGGACTGAAATTTGTATACTCATGTCAGAGAATTATGTTTTTTTTTTCTAAACAAAGTGTTTCTATTGATATATACTGTATGCCTACTATTTGTACCTCTTAACCATCGTGTTATGCATGAGATACAGCAATGAAGGGACTATCCGAATTGGGGATGTTTGATTTATACAAAGATGTTATGGTCGATGGAAGATGATATATTGAATAATTTAGGAGGCACTCTTTCAATTTTTTTACCTTTAAGAAAAAAAATATGACAAATGCACATTATCCAATTTCATTCAATGTCATTTTGGTGTAAAATACATATATACATTTAAGGACCATCTTCACCTGGATTCTGCATGGACATTATTAAAAGCACCTGTTACAAAGCTTTTTATCCACGTTGTAAGTTCTCATTAAAAACGAGTTACATATATCAGGTATATTATCATTATCTTCTTTTCATTTCAACTCAATTTCCAAACTATCAGTTAATATATGTTGCCTATCTAGACCATATATGGTCAGACTAAAACACACAAATAATAACCTTCATAATAGTGCAGGTGCAGCTACCAAAAGAGGTGACCGGTAACTTGAACAAGGAATTACCAAAAACGGTTACATAATATATAAAGAAGGCTTTATGTTTGCCTCCTTCCACAGGAAGCTAAAAAGATTGGGAGAAAAATCAGAAACATCAGACCTACAAGGTTTTGTGAAGTCTCGTTCTTCAATACAAATAAAATAGACAGAATTTATTATGAGACATTCGTCAGTAGATATTAAAAATCGTCAGACCATTGAAAGAAAGAAACATATTTTCTGAATAAGTGAATCTATCACGCCAACACTAGCATGATGTTCTGTTCACTATTCATTTACTTACAGAAGCAAGGTCAGAGATGTATGTTCAACACACCCTATCAATGTTTTGTTCAGTTAAATTTGAACTTTCTTTGACGAATTTATTTTTGAAACATTTGCTTATTCTAATAAAGTAATGCAGAAATTTATAATGCATTCGTCACAGTACATTAAAACATAACACATCACTTTAAATATCTTAATTGAAATTGAGCAAAATTATCATAATTTTACAATTTTAAAGATTTTGTAAACTCATAACAATACTTATGATTATTCAGGTATTTTTTGTTACGGCTTTGGTTATGTTCAGCTATTTTCTAACCCGTGATCTACAAGCAAAGATTTCGATATTAGAAGGAATGATATTCTTTTATATTGTTGGAGATTTTTTGGAGGAATTATGGAGTATGGTGAGTAAATTTCAGTCCATCAACTATTCTACATGCATATCTATACGGGATACTTATTGTCGGGTACATGTTATTGTCATAGAAAAACGATCTTCTGCATCTTACATAATTGTATCGTCCTTTTTCGTCCAAAGTAGTTCACGTTCGAACTTATTGTTAACAAAACATGTCTTACTTGTAAAATTGTATTTACAACTTTTGCTCAGATCTTTTTGTTTGACTAAAGTTGTGTTTAAAACTGCATGAGTGAGTTACAAGGACCATGCATATTACTCTAAGAATGTAAAATAGATTTCAAGTTTAATTACTCATTAGTGTCATATGCTTTTGTGATAAAACAGCCAGCAGGAGAATTTTCATCGATCAGAAATATTTAACCAGAAGATACATATTATGTGTATCTATATATTTTTAAAATATCATTCCTACAAAAATGCGATGCAATGCAATAAATACTTTGTGATCATGGTTATACCTCAATCTAAATTTTGCAAAATTGTTAGATAAGTTGATTGATTGGTGTTTCTTAAACATCCTGTAGAAAATAGATAAGATATAGAATTTTAAAAATATTTCGACATTCATATCATGATTGTTTTCAACCCTTTTATAGACAAATGAAGCATAATTGTGGTTTAATAAATGTATATCAGTACTAGAATCATCAACCTGTGAAAAATGCACATACAGTACTTACAAATGAAGCAAAGTCCAGGCTGTAACAACTTTGCAAAACACTGAGTATATCTTTTAAATATCTTACCTAGAATCTGATATTTGATTTGAAATGACTCCGTTTTAGGAGATTCAGTCTTACCTAGAAAACATGAAATGTGAATCAGGAAAATCGTATGACTGGCGGGAAAAGGAAAGAATTTGCACTTGTAATTAGCTACAGCTGAGCTTTAAACATTTCTAAAGTTTGTTTGGTCTTTGCTGGCTAGTTGTCTTATTTTAATTCATCATACATCTCCTTGTTTTGATGTGTCTTTGTCCAAACTAACTAAGGACATTTTTACCACGTGTTAGATTGTGGTTTGTCATTACGTCATCTGATCTTTTAATTACCGAACGTGACTTGTTCCCGATTGTGACTGTTTTGCTGAGTGTGACACCGCATTGCTATAAGACGTGTCACGGTACCTTTCTATCCCAAATTCACATATTTAATTTTGATGTTATATTTGTTATTCTCGTCGGATTTTGTCAAATGTCTTAACGTCTTTTCTGTTATATTCGTGTGTTATTGTAAAGATAATTAATCACCCCCTTCATTTATTAGATTTTAGTTTGGTTCAACGAAATTCATACGATATATTTGGTTTACAGTTTGATTCAGAAGAAATACCGACATAGCTAGATAATACAATTAATTATCTAATTACTACCACAATTTGATATTAATAAGTATTGTAATTTTCATTGTTATTAATAAATGTAATTTTCATTGTTATTAATAAATGTAATTTTCATTGTTATTAATAAATGTAATGTCAGTATTACAAATCTAATCTTGAATCAATCCTAATTCTATCTTATTTTTGGGAAATATTTTTACAAATTCAAATGTGACGTCACTTTGTGTGTTTTTTTAGAATTTCAATGTGACGTCACTTTGTGCGTTGATGCTTTGGCTAACTCGGCTGTGTATTTTTATATGTTGGATTAAGTTGTTTTATGGAATGTATCCGTTTTTATTCTGTAGTTAGTGCCCACTTCGGTTTTATCATGTATATCTATTATATAGTCATTTTATAAAATTTACTGTTTGCAAAATTATAAATTATTCTAAATAATAAGGATGTTCTTGTCCCAGGCAGAAAACCCTGGCCGTGTTAGGCGCAACATTTTGGAAGTTTTGGTCCTCGGTGCTCTTCGGCTTTGTACTTGTTTTGGCTTTCAAGCTTTTTTCATCTGAGCGTCACTGGATGGTCTTGTGTGGACGAGACGCAATGTCTGGCGTATTGAATTGTAAGCCTAGTACCTTTTGTTAGCTATTATTCGTGTGTTTCTTTGTCCTATATGTTCTACCATTTATTTGTATTGTGGTCCTGTCATGTGATGTTGTCGTTTTGGTGTTGTGTTTGACGTTGTCATTAAAGCGAGAGGTTAGGCATGCCACAAAACCAGGTTCAACCCACCATTTTTTTCTTAAAATGTCCTGTACCAAGTCAGGAAAATGGCCTTTGTTATATTATAGTTCGTGTCTGTGTGTGTTACATTTTAATGTTGTGTTTTTGTTGTGTCGTTGTTCTCCTCTTATATTTGATGCGTTTCCCTCAGTTTTAGTTTGTAACCCGAATTTGTTTTTATCTCTATCGATTTATGAGTTTCGAACAGCGGTATACTACTGTTGCCTTTATTTGATTTACATTAATTCAATTTGAGCAAATACTGATAAATGTAATCTCTTCCATTACAACGGGTTATATCCCGAAAAAAATCGAAACTAATTAATCTAGATGTTTTTCATTGTTGAATACAGTACGATTGCCTTTAATTGCTTACGTCTACTTTATTTGAACTTTGGTGAATAGTTGTCTCATTGCAATCATACGACATCTACATGTACTTATTTTTCTACTAAAGGAGGAACAACTCGAAGCAGTTCTAAATATCTTGCAATTAAATTATTTTTATCCTATTCAAGTTTTAAGACTTGAATAATTTGCTGATAAATGTAGGCCATTTGCTCTGAAACGTAAGGGATTCTGTCGTATTACTCATGATGAAATGCTGAAACAACTCAAACATAGATACCATGTTTTTGTGTTGAAATTTTCTTTCTTTTTAAATTGTTACAGATTCGACCGGAAGATTGTTCCTGGTCTTTTCAAAGAGTATTGCTGCATTTGTTTGACATATGGAACATTTTGGATTTTGCATGCTTCATTTTATACATCGTCGGCTTTGGTTTACACTATTATTATCCTGATTTGCTTGTGCATACTAGACGAATCTACAGCGTGGCTTTGTTCCTAATGTTTCTACGTTTGTTAAATTTGTTACTTCTGATCAAACGATTTGGAATTATCATTATAATGATCAAAGAAATGGTGAGTTGTTTTATATTAAAAAAATACATCTTATTTATTTTTTTTTTACATTAAATCGTTAAATCAGTATAAACACAATAAATATATTTTTTTGTTATTTCTTTGTAAAAACTCATCAAAGATACCAGGTTTTCAATTTGTTACCCCAGACACGCATTTCATTCACATAGACTCATCAGTGGCGCTCGAATCAAAACAGCTGACGGGCCAAATAAAATACGAAGTTGGAGGGCATTACCATGCGAAAAAAAACTTTATGCAAAACAAAAATAATACTGTAACGTTTCACTTAATTGCCTTATATTTTAAATATTTCTTACATTTAAAATGGAAAATGACCAAACTAATATATATTGAATTTCGAAGTACAATGTTTCTTCGAAAAACCGGAAATTGTAAACATCAATCAATTGTATACAACTAGTACACACATAAAAGTATATCTTAATATCCGCCTTTATGTGCAATATTCACAGTTATCACATCGTATTATCAACCACCAAACAAGTGTAACTACAACCATATGTATCACACAAAGATTGTATATATTTACCAGATTTCAACAATTCATATCAATAGGGGTACTTTCTATATTTCAACTAAATGGCGGGTGTTCAAGGCAGATCATTGATTGCTTCAGTCAAATTTTTTTCACAAAATGTATAAACTAGGGACAATTTAGTGTTGTCTTTGTGTAAGGACACGTGTATATCGTTGTAGACTGTATGTTTCATCGAAGATGTCTTTTTTATTCTTGTCGTCAGCTTGCTCTCTCGTTTAGGTATACTTTACATTTCGTTTTATGCATATAAACTTGTGCAAAATTTTAAAGTAAATTTTCCCTACAAGATTCAATTAAGTATTTCAATTTTAATGTTAATCAAACTTGTATTCTTATTGGTATTTTACGAATATAATTTTGATAACGTTATTGGTTACATGAATATAAACCGCTTAATAAAATTGTAAAGAAGTGACAATATCAAAGGATAAAAAACAACTAATGCCAAAATAATATGTGCTAACCCTTTACAAAATAAAACAATAAGTCATTGATGGGATGTGTCATTCCACTATTAGTATTTACATGTGTACTAACAAAGAGCGAACTTGTCTTATTCATGGGCTGATATGACAGTAACATAACATTCAGAGACTGTCACAACCATTATATTCAAAATCATGACGATTTTTGAAGGAGCTATTTAAGGAACTGTAATAAGAATTTCATGCTTCACTAGTGGAACCTGCAATTTATGTAAACATTTTAAAGAGGTATTTATATTATATTTAGAAAATTAAACATGGTTTTTGGCAATCATGTGTTCTGTGTATTCCAGCTTGTGGATCTCGTTGAATATTTAGTGATTCTAATTATACTGATGTTCGCCGCTGGTATAGTTTACCAGGCAAATATCTACCCAAATCATACAGTTACAGCGTTTCCAAGAGATATACAGAACTGGCAAATTTGGTCAATCCTAAAAATACCTTATTGGCAGGTCTACGGAGAGTTGAATTTGGATGTTTTAGAAGGTTTGTTAAATATATCAGATAGGCTATTTTTAGAAATTTAGATACATAAAACCTTAGTGATTCCTAGACACTTAATGATTCGAAAATTGTTTATAACTTGTTTATGTAGTTACATATAAAACATTTTCCAAGTAAAAGGATATCCCATCATGGCTCCAAAGTTATAGTACTCTATATATCGTAATCTAGATAGTTATACAAACTTTTACCTACTATTTTATTCGTCACATCTGTCTTCAAATTTTGATATGACGGCAAGACAATATATCACATTATTTCATTTTTTAGTGCCCGATCGTTTCATACGTATTGTCTGTATGAACTATAGAATATGTATATGTATTTGAATACAAAGTACTTCTTTTTTTAAATAATTAAGCATTAACATGATATACCGTCCTTTTTTTAATTTCTAAACAATATGGAGACGTCGATTTTGGTTTATTGTGTTTGGCTTGTTCAGTATGCACACGTTCGCCGGTATATATCATGCATTTGTACAGTTCTTACGAAGGGGTTTCGATCTGTATGTTTTACTTTCCTTTTTTTCTATTATACATGATCGACTTTTAAGGACGGAGCATGAAATGATCTTGTTTAAATGCATCCGGTAGACAAATTCAATCGTATATTTTAATAGCGTTGAACATATAGCCATATTAATTTCTACAATACGAATAAAAATCGGCCTTTTGGCTAATAATTAAAGATTATAAATGTCCTTTCCCATATCGGCCCTGGCATCATCCAAAGACTCCCATAACGGCCCAATGCGCTAGCCGAGGGAGTATATGGGTCGAAATGTTTTAACATATTGATCACATATTATACAAATGCTTAAAAAAAGAAAACAAATCATTATTCTGTCTGGTAAGATCATACCAGTGCTGTCCTCCACTGAAATAACTTCATTATTATAAGCTCCCCAACTGTTCAAAACTAAAGTCATTGAATATTATATTTAAATGTCAAGTCAGATTTTCTGTTAGTATTGGTGTTTTTTATTTATCTAAAAATTTCGCTGTAATTTTTAGTCGACGTTCCTCGTTCGTCATTGTTGTTAGAAACGCTTATGACGTCATAACAGGGCACAATAACCTGGTATTTGCCCCGGGCAGGAATATGCGGTTATTGCATAATACGCAAAATCCTATATTTTCGTTACAAATATGTGATAAAGTTGAAATGCTACATATATTATGAACGATATTCATTTGATCTTGGCATTTCAGTTATCTAGAATTTAATAAAATAGGATGATACATATAAGTATTTAATATAAACAATAACAACATGCAATGCAAATATAACTCTTCTTAATGAAAAAAAAATATATGCAAAGGGATTTAACTCTAACTGCTTTGAATTGGCTACCATACATTTCTTTTTTGTATGTTCATTCAGTTATCTCTATGAAAAAGTGTCATACTCGAGTTTCAACTGATATATGTGATTTTTATAATTCATTTTGACGACCTATTCCACTTCTTACTCTATTTTGCCTTTTAGATGTTTCTGAATCCAGCGTCACCGATGAGTGTTTTGCTGACGAAACGCGTTATTTGTATCCGTGATGAGTTATTATTTTTATATTTTACTTAATCTTAAATGTTATATATGAGGGTGTGGATTGGGTTTACAGAATAGAAAAAACAAATGGGGCAAAACAAAAAATAGAGAGTAATTGGGTGCTAAAATATAAAGAATAACTGCAAAAATTAAAGAATTGGGTAAAAACATACTGATTACAGAAATGAACATTGTCCAGAATACAGTTACATGTATCAAGCAATTACAAAAGAAGCCATTACTTTTAAAGATAAAAAATAATGAGCGAAAACATTTAAGAATACAAAAATTAATTACAAAATTAAAATTTAAAAACATTAATGCTTGAGCGAGATTGCATGATTAAACTAAGTTTAGTGGAATTTTAGCTTCAGATGATACTGGATGCACAACTAATAGTACATTATGGGAGAACGATCCGTCCGTAAACAGATGCCCGACATCCGACTGGCTTCCCCCAGTAATAGCCGCTACCTATATGATGTTAACGAACTGGTTGCTGCTAAATATTGTTATCGCGATGTTTAGGTGAGAATACTTATGGTTTAATCGGATAATATGTCTACTTTCCATGCAGCTTTCATTTAGTGCGAAAGTATGCCGATGGAAAGGGATTCGATATAATTTGATGGGAGATGCATTTAACTGTTAACGGAAATATAAACGTCCAAACCTTGTTGTGTCCGGGTGTGTTTAAGAACCTTATGTTTCCAATCAGACAATTTTCAAATGATCTATTAGAGAAAAATTGGCAGTTTGTCTGAGCTGATGTCGCTCGACATTTATACTGCATTTGAAAAAATATTTTTTAAACGTTATATGGTCAAACATATTTTTTATAGTTTTATATCAAATTCATAATCAAGCCCAGTTCATATGAAGGAAATGAAAAATTACAATAACAGAACGTTGCAAAACTGTAAAATACACAGCTTTTTGGGGATGTAATTTAATATTTAAATCAAGTTCACGAATGAAACTAAAATACTAGTATTCAACTGTATTATCCAAAATAGGCATTAATTTGACAATACATTAAATGTAAAATTATTATGAAAGTTTGAGAATTTTTTTTCAATAATTTAATGAACGGCATCGTTTCCTTGAAAATCAAGTACCCTTTTTTTTTTCTTTTTTTTTTCTTGTTGCTATTTTACAGTTTGTATTTCTTTCCACAATATTTCTTAAATTCAAACCTTACCTAAATAATCGTTTACTTCGACGAAGTCAAGATTTTAAATCTGAAACAATTTTAAACGCATTTTTTATTTGAACATGTGAAACTGTGATAAATATTAAAGTATATATGTCTGTTATCAAAGAGTATGATGAATAATAAATTATTAATATAAACAAGTATATTACAAATAGAGATTGTGTATAAAGAAATATGTTCACATAATGTTTTGATTTATTTTTTTATTTTAGTGCACGATTTGATTTGATAAAGACAAAATCCAGTCAGAAATGGCGTTACCATAGACATTCGGTAGTAATTGGATACGAACATAAGATACCATCACCACTGAACATTCCGTTTAGAGTTCTCATTGTTCTCTTTTATGTTATGTGTTATCTTCCTTTTTACTTATGCGATGAGTGTACAGAGGAAAACATTCAAGGTAGTATTTTATTCTTATGAACATTTCTTCTTTTAATAACTTCTCATATTTCATTTAATCTAAATATCGCGTAAATGCTGTCTTGTTTATTAAACCTTGTGAAAATTTTCAGATATATCGGTAATTATATATTGTCTTTCATAGAAAGGAAAGAAACATAAATATAGCTGTTCTATTTCGCTATAGACATTTGTGTTTCAATAATTTCAACAATGCTTTCCGATGGTAACCCGTTTATTGATTTTGGGTTTGAATAGCGGATTGGTGGGTTAGGGATGGGGCTTCAGTTGTATCCACGAATAATTCATGAACCATTCAATCCATGCTTTTAAAATTTAAAATTTTAAAGATATTGTTATTGATGCCGTTTTAATGTATACTTTACTTTATTGATTGATTAAATAATTGTGAAACGTTTAAACAATGCCTTTCAACTTTTAGTATGTTGGTTGTAGTCATAGAACGAAAGTAATATTCGATGTTGACGATTTTTTATTTTTACCCTTCCGGAGTAATGGATTTTGAATGATTGGAAAATTATACTTTTAATTGTTTCCGTGCAATAACTTGAGAGCAGTTTAACCAATAAGTTTTGATATGTTGTTAATGATGACAAAGTTATGTCTATTTGAATCTTGACTATTATCACTCTCGACTTCGTCATGACCTGTGATTGATTAGAAAATGAACCGGTCAAACACTGTTTTTCAAATTTTTAAATGTTGCTTCTAATAATAAATTGAGGTAAGGGCTGTGTTTGGATATACGCCTAAGGCAGCCTCTGGTTAACCATGGGTACCGTTTGGTACCTATGGTTTGATATTTTATATAACAAAATATCAAACCATGGGTACCCACGGGTACCTATTGGCAACCAGAGGCTGCCTTAGGCGTAGATCCAAACACAGCCAAGGTTTAATATTGACATGTAACAATGGCTGTGTTTGGATATACGCCTATGGTTACCCATAGGTACCTTCGGGTACCCATGGTTTGATATTTTATATATCAAAATATCAAACCATGGGTACCCAAAGGTATCTATTGTTAACCATAGGCTGCCTTAGGCGTATATCCGAACACAGCCATTATAACAAAAACCCGGTGTGCTGTACGTCAGACGTGCGTGTCGTGTCGTCTTTAAAAGACGCATAAGATTATAGTCTATCTGTTAAAGGAACTATAGAAGTTCTGTTGTTTTTTTTTTCAATATGTTAATGATAAATTCACATAGGCTGTGTTTGGATATACGCCAGAGGTGGCCTATGGTTATCCATAGGTACCTTTGGTTTGATATTCTATATATCAAAATATCAAACCATTGGTACCTAAAGATACCCATGGGTAACCATAGGCTGCCTTAGGCGTATATCCAAACACAGCCTTAGTCTAATGGATTTAGGGTGAAACAGTTACTAAAAAAAACAATTATTTTTTTTTAGGTCATGGTATTGAAGAAATGCTACAGCGGCAGCGAGAATTCGCTCGAGTCATATTAGAGGAGGAAAAGGACGAGGAACTCATTTAATAACATGTAAAATAAGAATTTTTGAAAATTGTTTGTACGTCTTAGTTGATCATTCGTTGAATTTAGCATTATTAGCATGTTTTACATTATACCACGCTTTTTACGTTATGAGAAGTAATCATATACCATTATTGCACCTACATTTGATTAATAATTTTCAGTGGACATCCTCTAAACTCCATTATGTAAGTTACATTGATAATGTAAACTCTGGGCGAACGAAACTTAAGACTCTTAGAGTGAACAGATTTTTGTTGGAAGTGGGGGGGGGGGGGGCGACTTTTTTCAGATCATACAACAACGTATACTTTTATGTTTAAGAGAATTTGTATGGTTAAGTATTTAATGAAAGCAGAAACTATGTAGTTTCTTGCTGATATTGGTATTTACAGTAAATGTACAATATCTAAAGATTTAAAAACTTAATTCTTCTTAGCATATAAGCAATACAATTCAACGTATCAGAATTTCCGAATATTCTATTACTAGGATAATTTCGCTTTTACAAAAATGCATACTACATACATTCGCAAAGAAACGAGAAAAGTAAAGGTATGTAAATAGAAACTTTTACATTCCAGAAAAAAAATATATACAATCTAAGTTTCAGTTTTAATCAAGCATTTACCTAAAAAAATAACAAATTGAATGTGTTCCCACTAGTCATTTGAAGATTACGGTTGTCGTCGTTTTTTTTTTATTATTTATTATTGTCTAAAACCATGTGTAACTGTTTCCATATTTTTCCATATCCATGAATGACCCTTCGTTAGGGAGGGTTTACCATGTTTTGATATACATTTATATATTAACTGATTCATTGTAAAGGCAGATCGTTTTTAATATCAAGCGATATCCAATTCTCACTCGTTATGAAACCTTTATTATAGCATTGTTGTTTTATACTTTTACCTTTTTATAGATTACTATGACATATTTATCCATATTGGCATGCATAGTTTAACCTGTTTTATGTAAATCTGTTATGTTGCATAATGATTTTTATCAATTTTGTTTTTATGTCATACATGTACACAAATGTATACTTATTTTATTAAAAGAACATTGTTTACTTATGACAAGTGTGTTGTGGACCGCGAAAATCTTGTTATTTATTTTTAGAATACCCTGATTAATTGATCTGTTCGTGTCTGTTCAATAATTATTTACAATTGTGACTCTTTTCATCGATAAGAAAACTTATGAATAAAAAATGTATTTAGCCAACGGGTTGTTGTAGATGGAGAAAGGAAGGAAAAACTATCCCAATAGCATGAGTTCGAATCCCGACGAGGGAAGGACAGAAATTTGCTTCCGCAAATTTGCAGATTTAACATTGTTGTGCTGATATTTAGAGTAATTATGAATATAATATGTCTTTTCAGCCGTGTATCACCTTCACTGGTGATCAAATCGATGGATCTGTCGTAGAGTTGTCACTTGTTTAGACGTACTTATCAAAATAATTATTTCTGTAACTGCATCTTACGATCCTCTAAGATACATAATTTAGCTAATCTGCAATCAATACCATCTTCATGTCTAATATATCATATACTGTATTACAACTCTAGATTCTACTGACGAGGAAAGGTAACACTTGACTAGGCCACTGAAAGCTGAATTTTTTATTCAGTCTAGGTAGCCAAGTGGTCGTTTTCAACTTAAATCAGTCTGAATGATAAAAATCAGTCAAAAAATGCATCTTTTCTAGATATGTCACAGTTTGATGTCGCGAAAATTACATTTTACGTTTAACTTAACAACGTCATTACTTTCCCGGTTTCTGTATCGTATGTCCTTAAACAAGTCACCTGTGTAAATGTATTTGATCACTAAGGATTTAAGAGAGAAAAAAAAAAACATTACATTGGCAAAGAACAATGTAACTTGCGATATATTTTACTATAAGATAAAATTTCATCTTAATTATATATATATACGATAAAAAACGACATACAGTCTACAAATCAATATACATAAAAAAAACTTTAAGACTGAACAACACGAATCCCAACAAAAACCAGGGAAGAAATTTTATTACGTTTTTCCTGTATTGAAAAAAATAAAACAATATGTATTGTCTCTTTCGAAAACAATGATCACGTGTCTGAATAGCTCAAATTTAGCAATATACTAGTAAGAGGAAAAAGAAGAAACTATATTGTGCATTCGTGGACTTTGCGAAAGCTTTTGATACTGTTTGGCGGTCTGGTCTCTGGTCAAAACTTATAAAACACTCGATTAACGGAAAGATGTATAACGTTATTGTCAACATGTACAATAATATCAAATCACGTATTCACTTTGGATCAGATTTTTCTGAATTTTTCCCTTGTCAGTCCATTGGTGTTAGGCAGGGAGAGAATCTCTCTCCTTTGCTTTTTTCCATTTATCTAAACGATCTGGAATTGTTTTTACAGAATAATAATATAGAAGGTTTGTGCACTATCTCTGATGAGTTAGAAATAGAGTTAAATGTTTATTTAAAATTGTTTGTCATTTTATATGCTGACGATACTGTCTTAATGGCAGAATCTCAGATAGATTTACAAAGACAACTGGACTCCTTATATGAATATTGTGAGTTATGGAAACTTAAAGTAAATGTGCAAAAAAGTAAGATTGTAATTTTTTCACAAGGTAGACTACCGCAGAATATTGTTTTTAAGTATGATAATATAATACTAGATATTGTGAGTGAATTTACTTATCTTGGTGTATTACTGTCCAGGTCAGGAAATTTTTCAAGAGCTAAAAAAAAGCAATGTGAAAAAGCAACACATGCTATGTACGATATTATTCGAAAAGGTAGAGTACATAATCTGTCAATTGAATGCCAACTTGATCTATTTGATAAAATTGTGAAACCAATACTTCTGTATGGGTGTGAAGTTTGGGGTTTTGGAAATAATTCAATAATCGAGAGGGTTCATATTAAAGGAGTAGGTCCGGTAAGGGCCGATTTTGGCCCAAAACTTCAGGTTCATCTGATGAAAGATTTTGGACACTTTTTAAACACTTAAGTGTCTACTTTAGTAGTTTCAATTAGTTTAGGTGAAAGTTTAGAACTGTTTTAGTCATTAAAGACGCTCAAATTCAAGCTTAAATATTGAAATCTATCAAATATGCCGTAATATGTCACTTTTCAGATGGTTTTTGTAAAAAATGAAAGTGGCCGCATCCGTGTTCATCCTCAACCTTTATATATGTTATGTATTATCATCAAATACAACTTACATTTAAATATTAAGAATGAACACAAATGCGGCCACTTCCATTTAAGATGGAAACCGTCTTAAAATTAACCCAAATGCTAAAATTGTGAAGATTTCAGTAATTTAGCATGCCTTAATGATGCTAGTACCCGATACATGTGCATTGTATTGTCAAAAACAGCCCATATTTATGTAACAGAAGTATTCTACTTTCCAATAAATAGCTAAACGTTTACATTGTAACAATTTTGTAAAACTGCTTTATTTTGGGGCCAAAAAGGGGTCTTACTGGACCTACTCCTTTTGTAAAATATTACTTGGAGTAAAAAAGTCTACTCCTGATTTTATGATTTATGGTGAATTGGGAAGATATCCATTAGATATTTCAATCAAGTTACGAATGATAAATTATTGGTTCAAGTTGGTAACTGGAAAACATGACAAATTGCCTTATATTTTGTATAACTTAGCAACTGTCAAATATGGTACAAATATTTTATGGTTAAAACAAGTCAAATCAATTTTAGACACGTGTGGCTTGTCATATGTATGGAACAATATCTATTTTGTAAATAAAACATGGCTACATGTAACCATCAAACAGAATTTAATAGATCAATTCAAACAAAAATGGCAAGCAAGACTACAGGAATCACCAAAAGCATTAAATTATCGTTTATTTAAAGATACTTTGGAGTTTGAGAAATATTTATATATTTTGGATGACAGGCAGATATCCTTATTTCTTAAATTTCGAACTTTGAACATGAAATTTCCAATAGAAACTGGAAGATGGCAAAACATAGAAAGAGAAAACAGAAAATGTGTATTGTGTAATTCAGATGCCATTGGTGATGAATACCATTACATTTTTAATTGTTCAGCTTTTGATAACTGTAGAAAACAATGTATTGCATTTTACTATAGAAATAGACCAAACACATTGAAGTTTTATGACTTAATGAATTCTAAAAAATGTACAGAACTGAACGAACTATGTCAACTTATTAAGGAGATCAATAACAAATTGAACTTTTCTGGGTGAAGAATTGTGAATGCCTCTATCTACTTTCGTACATTATTTATTTATGTAATTGTATTGAAATGTGTATAATTATCTCTATACCTTTGTAATTTGGTTTGTGAGAATAAAGATATATATAGTACATTATTATTGTCTCGTGTCTAAAGTGGAAAAATTGCTATCAAATATACGTTTTTCTCATTAAGCGTTATAAATTCTAAAAATAGTGTCCATATTTTTCAAATAAAACCAAAGACATATGAATGAAGTATCTGAAAAACATTTTGATAATTGCATAATGTTTAAGTTAATTAACTTAAGGATGTACACCTCTGAGGAGCGGAATTATTCTAGAATTAAACTTTTGTTCTTAACCTAGTTTTTGGGTTTATATAACTGTAAGAAAGTAAATTGTGAAGAAAAATCATATGGTGGTGCATTTCATTTTTTGTTACCCATGATTTTCCGATTTTTTATAATTTTTTTTACCAGTTTTGTGGCTTTTATCATGAATCACCATTAAACTTTTTGTCATACTTTCACCAAAGATGAAGTGAACCAATCCGAAAAAAATAACTTAAAAACTAATGGTTGGTTAATGTTAAAATGTTTTATAACATTTTGTTGCTTTTTGTGTCAAATTGACCATGCTGTCAATTTTTTAAATTTATGAAACTTCTTTGTTATGAATGATTGAAAAAATACCTATTTAAGAATTTTGAAAGAAAAATTGATTTTGAGATGTACATATTTTTTGGTAAAATCATTTCTTTGTACCTCACACCCATTTTCTCAACAGTTTGGCTGATGGACACCATGGATACTGACCGAATTAGTTATACAATTTTTAAATTTAATTACTCAAAAACTGGTCATTGTAAATACACATTTTTTTCACAGAATGAGTGTTTGATTATAACATTTAAAAAAATCATTGATATTTTCCCCTGGTATCACATGTTATCACATGTTTTGAAAACAATTCCAGAACAAGATTTCACCGAGACTGAAACATCAGAGGAAAACATCCTTTAGCGAGACATTTTGTATGGTCAACTGTCTATTTGTCGAAGACTATATGTCTGAATCACGATGTTTATTTTTGTTATTTCTGTCGTTGGGCTACTGTTCCATTGACGTATAACCCACATCTGATTCTCCTTCTATTACACACTTCACTATCCGTGTACACTGCTGGTTGAAAAAAATAATATACAAAACTGATAGCACTCATAAGACATATTGTTAAGAAGCATGTCTATTGTTTAAGATAAAACTTCTCCATCTAGATGTCTGTCGGTTATTTCTGTAGTTGGCTTGCTGTCTCATTGGCGTAGACCTCACATCTCCTTTTATTCACACAGCACTTAATTTTTTCGTGTGCACTGATGACTGAAACTATTTTTTCATCATATAAAACTGTTAGCAATGCCTATTTGACTTTGTTTCAAAAATACCGGACTAATTTGTTGTTTTCTGTTTAACGTTCAGTGGCAAATATTTCACGCAAATTAACGCCAATACAAATTACAAAATCTATTATAAAAGATTAAACGTCTCCCTCTAGATGTCTGTCGGTTATTTCTGTGGTTGGCTTGCTGTCCGCTCATTGACGCAGACCTCACATCTCCTTTTGTTCACACAGCACTTAATTTTCCGTGTGCACTGATGACTGAAACTATTTTTTCATCATATAAAACTGTTAGCAATGCCTATTTGACTTTGTTTCAAAAATACCGGACTAATTTGTTGTTTTCTGTTTAACGTTCAGTGGCAAATATCTCACGCAAATTAACGCCATTGTGTCAGAAAATCACATCGTAAAGATTTTGCACATGTGTCTAGTCTACTTTAATAAACACTTGCTTTCTTTTGTATTTTTTGAGTGAAGAAAGATTTTTTTTACAGAAACGCAGACACACACGTGTTTCAAATGTGTTTTCTGGATTATCAGAGCGCACTGGTTCCCGAATATGGGTAATATA